TTTGCTTTATTTTCGTTTCCTTGAGTCTTTCACGTTGTCATACCATCGAACTTAGAACTCTAGTTCTCACTTTCATATTATCATACACGCTTTTCTATTCAACATACATACACGAAAAACACACACGCGCTCTTTCTCTTTCTCTTTCTTCCTTTCTTTCTTTCTTTCATTATTTCTTACGCACGATCTTGTTCGCCCAGCTTAACTGATTAATGATCGTTATTAGTGCCAGTAAATTACAATGATTTATTAGAAGATCACGACTCGTCCCTTTTTTTTTCTTTTTTTTCTTTTTTCTTTCTCTCTTTATCATTTATCTTACGGATAAATTGCTATGGGCATGACGGGAAGTGTGATTATCGATCGACGACTTTAATATTGTCAAAAAAAGAAAAAACAAAAACAACTGTCAACACCTTATTCGTCAAAAGGGTCTCTGTAGTATCTTCTCGTATCGTTTCGTATATTTTTTCTTCTTCTTCTTCTTTTTTTGTTTTAAATTCTTTTTTATTTTTTATGTTTTTTTTTTCTCTTCTTTTTTTATTCGATCTTTTTTTTCTTATACATCAAACGTACGGACGCAACGACGCATTCGGTGAACTCTTAATACGAATTGAAAGTTACAATATTTGCATATTCTCGTATAATCTCATTCCATTTCTTTCATTTATTTTATTATTATTTCCATCGCGTCATATACAAACGGATTTATTTTTATACTTGTGTGCAAATATATCATTGAAAGAAAAAACAAAAGTTGAAAACATAGAGAGCCAATCACGAAGATCGATACTTATTTATCTATCTATTCGCGAAATAGAATCTCACACGTCGAGCTTATCTATGAAATTTAATATCGAAAATATCGTCATTAAACTTATCTTTCATAAACATTGTTTCTATACCATTTTTGTTTTTTTTTCTTTTAGTTTTACCCATCTACATTCTTCGTGAATGGAAACTCGATCGATGATACACGTATTCCGGATCTTTTCGTCTAAGATAAACGTAAACTGGAATAAAATTTTCAATTCGTAGTATCGATACCTACTACTATTCTTTGCACGCTATTACATCTTACGAAAAGGGAAATAACTGGGAAGATAAACGAAACGACGAATAAACAAAGATTACTATTCTCGGTAGAATAGGAATAAGACGATCGAACAAAAAATCATTCTATCTATCTCTATCTATTTATCTATCCATCTATCTATCTATCTATAGTTATATGTATTTTATGTATCTTTTAGCTAGCTAAAGAGAAATCTAAAGCTAAAGAAATAGATAGAAGAAGTTAAGCGTGAGAGAATGAGATAGTATTCGAACATTATTTTAACTCACTAAAAAAACTCTTTCAGTATACTATCGTATCTTCTATAGAAAAATCCCCATTAAGTCGTTATGAACGTCGTTGTTAGCGTATCGTCGTGCCGTATCTTCTCCTTGTTTCTAAATTTTCTCGAATATCATCGAACCCCTATATAATGCCGAATACCACCGATTCTCCCTCCCCCCTTTTTTTCGTGATACAATCTCATCGATTTGTTTCGACCATAGAGCGTTGAACACGAATTGAAAATTTCAGTTATCGTCTTTTCCTATTTTTTATCCCTTTCCTTCCCTTCCTCCCTCTCTCTCTCTCCACCTACCTCATTCAGTCTTTTCACTTCTCAGTCAGTCAAGGAGATAATAAGAAAAAGAAAATACAATTTTGGTCGTATTTCCGATGATAAGTCCGAGTGAACATTTAATATCGTATCGCGCGCGTTTAAGTGGATATTATTATATTTAATATCTTCAAGTGGATTTGTTGGTTTACGTTCGGTTATTCCGTTTTAATCGATAGTATAACGCTATATAGGAATACAGAGAGGTATATCTATCCCCTCACTCAGCATTTTCCTCTTTTAACGAATTTTTGTTAAAAGAGAAGAAAAGAAAGAAAGAAAAGAAAGAGAACAAAAAAAAGTAGAAATGAACCACAAGAGATACCTTTTTATCCACTACTATTGTATTTACTTTGTTCCACTATTTCGCGAGAAATTCCTTTTAGAATGTTATTTCTGTTTTATCCCACACACAAGAGAGAGAAATAAGTAAAGTATTACTTCTTTATTTTAAGAGACTATCTTTCAAATTGTGATTAATATTTTTTCTTTCCCCCTCCTTTTTTTAAGAATGAAAATATAATACAAGTACGTTTTTAATTCGCGTCGGATAGAAAAAATAGGATGAGGAAAAGAAAAAAGGAAAAACATCGTCAAGATTGAAAATATTGTCGGAGATTATCGAGGTAAGATTGATAATTAATATTCTTCAAATGTTAACTCAATCAACGATGTTTCCTTATTAGATATCAAAAATAAAAAAAAACATTAAATGTACCCTAGAGAAAAAGAGAGAAAGAGAGAGAGAGAGAAATACGAAGGCAGAGAACAAGTAGTAGGATTTTTCGTTATTCGACCGCGGCGGATAACCGTGGTGCGGCGTAATAATTAAATTTATCACGAACAGTGCCAGTGCTACCGGCGGATGTGGTTGTTGCGCGACGGCTTTCCCTAGACCCCGTTTGAAATATTTTCCAGCTGCAACGTTCAATAATGCCTCCCGTTAAATTATCGTATTATATGGGCTTGAGGTAGGTGAGAAATGGAACAGCAGCGGGGAAGAGGGGTGGGGTGGGGAAGAAGGGGGGTTAATGGGGAAGGAGTGACCAGCTTTGGTAGTACCAGAATACTGAAAAGGGGGGAAAAAGAGAAAACAGGACATCCCCAAAACGATTTAACGGTCCGTGTGCATCATTGTCCAGTAGTTCTACTTAACGATTCATGGTCGATACCATTTCGAATAAAACAATTAGTTTTCTTTTTCCAACCAACAAAATTATTATATATATTTGGCAATATATAATTTAATTGATTTCTTTTTTTTTTATGCTCAAATCGTCTGACATATTATATCGTTAAGTTCTCGTATACACACATAAATACACAGGTGTATACATATATACAAATATATATATATATTCATAAGTGCAATGATTTGTCATGTTAATCAGAGCTCGGATCGATGACCTCTCGTTACCCGTTAAATAGTTCGTATTCGGCAGGAACGAGAAACGACGTTCGATGACAGGCCCGTAGATTAATTTACAAGGCTTTCAACGTACTCGCCTATAAATCCAGTAACTAACTACGACTAATTCATATGCAATGACGTTGACGAGTGTCAATCAGCCAGCCGTACGACAGATTATTAACGAATTATTTTAACTTTGAAAATTAATTTTCCTCTCTGGTCACTCTTTTTTTCGGGAAAAGGACAAGAGGAGTAAAGGAGAGGGTAGGAAGGGGTGACCTTTTTTTGTTAAAAAAAAAATTGAATTAATCGATAGTGGAATAAACGTGATAGGGGCAAAATCGATGGAACTTTACGAAACTCACTTTGAGATATTATCCCTATCGATCTACGATACATTTGCAAAAAATGATTGTCCTTGGTAAGCGGGTCGATAATCAATGTGCTAAATTTACTATACCCAACCAACCCGTACGTGGAAAGCATATTTGCATAGCTCACAGGTTAGTAAACGCTTTGGGGGGGTTATTCGCCAAAAGGATTTGACATTTTTTTTTTATTAACGATTCCGTTCAAATCTCTTATATTTCCAAAGAATTATTATTTTCAACGATAAGCTCGACCATTCGATTTCTAATTTCTATCGGGAATATCTCTTACAAAATTCACTTATTAAGAATTATCGAGTTACGATTTGATTTGTGTTAATTTTGCCAAATTAACTTCTCGATTGCATTTCGTGTAATTTTCATTTGAATATGAACAAAAATGTTTCCTCCTTCCTTCCTTTCTTCCTTCCTTTTTTCATTCGATATACGTATCTATATAGTACGTTGAAAATTGAGTTGATATGTTGAATAGCAAATGTCAATCATAAGTTTGATTAGATCGACATTATTATTTTATTTTCCATTGTGTTTCATTACGTACGATATCGTAGATACTTAAACTCGTATTTAGGAACTGAATTGATAAAAAAAGAGTTTAAATCGAGAAAAAAATTGTTATTTTTTTCCTTATTATCACGAAAATGAATAAAATAGCGTCGTCGTTGATCCATTCGTTCGCATTTGAATTATGTTTCTCATCGCTCATTCATCACCGAATCACGAATTGTTTTTTTCGTGATACTAACGAATACGTGTACATATAAAATGCGATGTATGTTTGTAGATGTGTGTATGTGTCTGTGTGTGTGTGTGTATACGTGCGTGTGCGATGTGTGTTTGCTTATATATATAATATGTGTATATATAATATAACAGTATCGGATGTCCAGTCACTCGACGTCCATTATTTTTCATTTTTTTTTTTTTCTTTATTTTTATTAATAATATTATTAGTTGTATTATTTAGTATTATTATTATTTTAATAATTATTAGTATTATTATTTTATCCCTTCGTAACGGGCAAAGATAAAGTATGCTCGCAACGATACTTTGGAACGTGCCGTTTTCCGTCGAGTTTCCACACGCGTAATATAACATTGTATAAGATCGTGATCGATATAAACGTTCGTGCGACGAATTGTCAACTATTGAACACCCGGAAATGAAATTTCGTTGCTCTGAGCTTGTGTAAAATGTAAATAGGTCTCGTGTTTATATCTCAGAATATTATTTATATTTATATATCTATATGTATAAGATTTTGATTTAACACGAGACCAATTCGAACAGAGTTTATTTAAACCTAATAATTACTCCTTCGAACGCGCGTATTACTTTTTAAATCGTGAAATTATTCAAAGGAACACGGTGGACACTCGGCTACAGGATGAGATCCTTCCGATTCATCCAATTTTCTACTCCCCTTTTTTTTTACTTCATCGTTCTTCTTAACTTTTCCTTCCTTTTTATATTTTCCATTTTTGACTTCTTTTTCTTTTTCTTTTTCGTTTTCGTTTTTTTTTTCTTCATCGTCTTTTTCTTCTTCATCTTCTTCTATTCGTTTCAGCCGATTCCTATGTCCTCGCTCGTGATAAAGTTAATTAGCACCATTCGTATCGCGGAGCTACTTAGCAGCACCTCAGGTATCACGGTCACCTCAAAAACGAGGACAATGTCGCAAGGATGATAAGAATCAAGGGTGCCCTTGAACAGTCACTTCCACCATGCTGCATCGCTGCTGGATTCTCTCCTGAAATCATTTCATATTTATCAGATTAATTAACAAATAATTATTTATTAAATCTCAAGTTTATATATCATGTTTTTCTTTTTATTTTTCAACACGTTGAAATTAGCACACGACATTTGTTTTATTTTTATTCGTAGATAAAATTAATTCGAAAAAATATCGTTAGTTCTTACGATAAAAATTAATATATCACAAATACATTTTTTTTCGTTTAGAAGAAATATAATTAATAATTATATAATAATATTTGCATCAACGTCGCAAGTTTTATATAACCATTGAGTAAAAGTGTTGTATAATATTTTCTTCTTATACTTTATTTTTTTTTTTTTTTTCTTTTTATTTTCTTTAATGGAATAATCGAAAAAGTATTAAGTATATCGAAAAAGAGAGGAAGAAACTTTTCCCTCGAGTAAGTTTAATAGCCGTTAAAAGATTTTACGCATTGAATGAGAGAAGAGAGAGAGAGAGAGAGAGAGAGAGAGAGAGAGAGGAAGAAAATAGTTCGATGCGAAAAAACTTTTCCCTTTTCCCTTGTCCCTCTCTCTTACGGAGAGATAAGTTCACTTCTATTTTTCCCCGAACGTTTCGTTTCCGAACGAGTTAGAAAGTATTACTATTACTTTCCATTGTGAGAAATGTATATGTGTGTGTATATATATATGCGTAAGGTACGTAGAAACGTTGTACTTACGTACAACCTTGGTACAAAGGGCCACATGCGCTAGGCTATTCTTCGAAAACGGTCTAAAACAATATTTCTAGAGAAAAAGTTTAAGCCGAAAGTTTGAAAGTGCTAAAAGAAAGAGAGAAAGAAAGAGAGAGAGAGAGAGAGAGAGAGAGAGAAAGAGTCTTCGATTATCTGTTATTGCGAGAAAACTACACGATTGGGCCGTTTTGTCACGTTACTTGGCGATTTTTCAAATCGATTTATGGATTTGAAGGTTCATATAAAATAAGATCTGCTTTCTTTTGCTTCCTTCCTTTCTTGGTCACTCGCACACACACAACTCTTAGATACATTCTATTATTTTTCTCTCATACCTTTTGATTCTTTTTCATACCGAACGAGAAAATATTTTCTTACTCTCCGACGGATAAATGGAAAGTTAGCCGGATAGTTTATCTCGCCTTTCACCAAGGCCCTTTTTCTTATGTCGAAGATTCCCATACGAAAAAAAAAAAAAAAAGAAGATACGATAAAGATGAGACGATAACTTTGATGAAAATGTGAAAAAAGGGAATAAGGATCTAAAGTGTTGTTGATCCGATCAAATGATTGTAATAAAAGTAAAGATGATTTACCGATGAGCTTTCGATTGTCGAAAACGAACGAAAAGATTACTCGTGTGAGATAAATGAAATTAAAGATAGAAAGGGAAGAATACATTGTACATACATATATATATAAGAACTAGGTCAGGATTAATATAAAGCTTATGATACTTTTTGTTAATCCTTGATCCACCTCTTCTGTCTTTACCTCTGCCTGAAGTACTTTTAATTCGATTAGGCCCACCTAATTGCGCCTAAGACGATGAAATTGAATTTTACGTCGAATCACCCTAGAAATGAGATCTTCGAATACTTTATTAGAGATCTGCGATTACTCGGAAAAGGTAGAACACGATTTATTAAAACTGGAGAACTAACTTTCCTAGAAGAGAAAAGAGAATAATTAAAATCTATATCGCGAAGAAATGTCTATTATCTACAATTACCTATAAATTTAATAATAAATTATCATTTTTGTCTTATACATGATGTCTGTGTGGTCTTTTCGACCAAACGGTGTCAACAAAAATAAGAAAAAGATAAGTTATATCGACATAAATTATTTAAAACTTTATTACAAAATTATATGACATCCTGTATATTATATATAACTATTCCTAAATATAAATTATCGAAATTATCAAATTTTTATATATATAATCAAAATATTCAAAAAATTATCAAATCATTTTTATATAAATAAATTTAGTTTTCACACAATATATATTTACACTATAATTTACAAACGACGGAGACGAATATCTTATTTCTTTTATTTATTTCCATCAATTTATCTATATTTAATGATAATAACGATAATTAAAAAGTTGTCACACGAAAATAAATCGACGCGTCGGTTTTGGTTACAATTAAATAGAAAAGCCAAAATGTTGTGGGAAGAAAACAATACCGTCAACATCCAACGTATATATATATATATATATATATATATATATACGAAAGGGTTCATGGGAGTAGAAAGAGAGAGAGAGAGAGAGAGAGGAAAGGGGGAAAGGGATAGATATAACCGTAGGCACCAGTGGTGAGCAACAGCAAGCGGTTTAATGGGCCGCAAAACGATTATTGGCTAGAATTAATCTCAACAAGCCAAGATGTGTCCGCTCTAAGGTTGGATGGAAATTTTATCTGATTTCTTCAACCAAAAGAGAAGATAGAAAGATAAAGATAATTTCAATCCGATGAAAATATAATTTTTAATATCTGAAAGTAACGTCGATCGCGTACACTCTCGTTAAGACTTTTCTCATTTCGTTCGGGAAAGATTTTAACTTTGCGAGGAAGACAAGTACAGCACAATTTCGATTCAATTAAAAATCCCGAGAAATGAGAGAAAGAGAGAAAGGAAAAGCATCTAGGAAAAATTTACAGCTTTGTTTACGTGACTCTTTCGTCACTTAGAAAACTCGTTCCTTTATACGTGAATCGTCGCTTCCTTAATTGAATAAACCAACCTCTTTTTCTTATATAACTATATAACTATATATATATATATCTATCTATCTATCTGTCTCTTACTCATTCTTTATCTATTGCTTCGTCTCATTGAAAATACTTTTGTTAATTGGACGGAGAAATGAATTTCTATATTCTTAGAAGGTATGAAACGATTTCCCTCTCTTCTATCAGAAACGGTTTTCTCCCTTTTGCCTTTGTAATAAAGGATGAATGGAAAATCATTTTCTAAAGTAATTCCCTTCTCGAAGGTTGCCTATCCATCCCGGAGTTAACGTCTATATCTTGCTTCTCACACACACACACACACACACAACAACAAACTAATTAAATAATAATCCTCTCGAAATGTCCTTGTAGGTGTCGCGGAAATATACCTTACGACGGATTGGCTGTCCTCGTTTGAATACGTCAACGATTCGACCCGAACACATTTTTTCTACAAACCCTTTACCCACTTTTTTTCACCCCGATCCCTTTCCTGCTTACTTCTCTTCCCTTCCTCTCTACCTCCTTCCCTCCCACCCAACTGATTTTAATGTATTCCGTTCTCTACGGCGCGAACTTCTCGAGAAAATTTAACGAGCACTAAAAAGAATCGTTCTCGGGGATTACAAAGCAAGAAATTGCATCTACCCGATGCGGAACAATGCTCGTGAACGTGGCAAAGAGAATGAGATAAATTTTTGTTAAACAAAATACTAAGATGGTAGAAAGAGAGAGAGAGGATCCTTTTGTATTGTGGAAAATAGCCAATTTTCTATGCTGGATATTATAATTTGGCAAAGAACTTTCTCGTTTCTCTTACTTTACTAAGAAACTTTCATTAACGATATAAGAGAGGGAGAGAAGAAAATTCCAAAAAAAAAAACAAAAAAAAATAACAACAAAAAACCCACGTAAGCTCAAACGCGTGTACATGCATATGCACACACACACACACACACACACACACAGGCCATATCACAAGAAATGGATAACACTTTGGATGTTTCTCTTTTCGTCATTCGTTTCGTTTTTTTTTTTGTTTTCTTTTTCTCCCTTTTTCCTTTCTTTGTATCAAGCAAATAGAACTCGAAAGTAACTCGAGGAAAAGCCGTCGTTGTTACGAAGCTAAACAGTTTCATTCGCGGTGATAACTAGAAACGCTTCGGGCGGTCGCAGTCATTAGAAACTCAAGTAGGTACTACCCTTTCCCTTCGTTCTCTACCTTGTCCTCCTCCTCCTCTTCCTCTTCCTCCTCTTCGTCGTTCTTCTGTTTTACACGTTTCATCGTCAACGAGTTCACGCTCAACATTATTGTAACGGCACGTCGTAAACGAGATTGACAGTACTCTACTGACGAGAGGAGAGATTATTAAAAGTTTCATGTTGATACTTCTGCCCTTACTCGGCACGTTAGAATTACTACAATATACGATTTATAATTGCATAAACTATTACATATGTCTACTGTACTAATAATACATACATTACTATTTCTATTAAAGTTTAATTAATTTTCTCAATATTTATCTTTAACGAATTTTATAATGACCTGGACGAATTATAATAATAAATAGAATAATTATTATATTTATTTCTCGCGTTATATGATTTTTATTTTTATTTATATTTAAGGATAATTTTTAAAAAGTATTAAAATTATATTTTATTATTATTTTCTTCTCGAAAGATATCGTAAACGTTATGACGATGAAAATTTACGAAAGAGATCTATCGAGAGTGATCGAATACAAATGATTATAAGAGAATTGGTTTTTTATTTTTCTTGTTAATATTTTTCCTATGATAATACATTTTGTTAACCAAAATGATTATTAATTTTACATTTTATATTTTTATTTGATTTATTTTTGTAACAATCGCAAATGTATTAACGACGTTATTTTTGCGAAATAACTACAACGACGAGTTTTATGCGAATGTTTCTGGCAAGGGAACGTCAGGAAAGGAGCCACGAAATTTCTATCTTCTGACCAGAAAGGTCGCTCGCGGGAATCGAGCGTTAACTTTATCCAACGTTCTTTTGGGCTTTTACTACTACTACGACTAAGACGAAAACTGGCATTCGGCCAATACGAGCACGCCGCAATTGCGATTGTTTATTACCGACTATATTGTATAAACTCTCTTTCCCTCTTTCTCTCTTAACCGTTGCCCAGAACACGCTAAATTTTCTCCTCACAATCGGTCTATAAACCCTTGCAAACGTCTAAAAGAATCACCGAGTGATCTAAACGCGTAAATGA